GAGAGAGAGAGAGAGAGAGAGAGAGATGATCCTATTTTTATGTAATGTTTAATATTTTAATAGAACTTAAACACGTGCGTACCTTGTATTTATAAAAACGTAGCTTCGCGTTCATCAGAGAAGTGTGAATATCGCAAAGTATAACAAATGTGGAAATGCGTCTCTGCGTCAAAACAACTAACGTGACCGTAGTGTTAATTAAGCGGATTAAGCATATTAAACAATAGCAATGAGTATGTTCAAGGCTGCGTTTAGTTTTACGTAACTTCAACATAAACGAATGGTAATCTCGGGAAAAAAATCCTATATATAATTATATATAACTATATAATGTTATATTTATATAACTTATTGTAAACATCATAAATGTATTGATTTTAAATGGCTGTTGTATTAATATTTTTTGCAAATAATTACAAAAATATATTAAATTATTATTTGTTTAATTAATTAAAAAGCAATTTCTAAGTAAAAGTACAGAAAAAAAGTAATAGCGCTATGATTAAAGAACATGTTCAATTAAAATTTATTGAATAATTTAAAATTTAAATCAATAATTTTTGAAAAAAAAAAAAAGAATTCTTATATACAAAAACAGTATGTAAATATTGATTAGTTTAACAGTAATATTATTTTTGTGTAGAAGTGACCTAATTACGATAATGGATATTTACTATAAAATATTCTTTTTGCATACCTACGTTGTTAGATGTTACAAGATTCCATGACTATTATAATGATTATATTAATCACTATTATTTCTTACTTATAAAACCTCTTTGCTACGATTTTTGGAAACGTTTGATGTTAATAAAGAATGATCGTTCCGTAAAAGCAAAGCAAGGCAAGTAATTTTACTATGTATGTGTTATGACACGACTTTTGAATATATGCGTTTTTACCTTTGTATTATTAACAGATATAATAGTAAATATTATTGGGCAATATTTAAATGTAAAAATTTTAAAACATTATATTTTCTAAAAATATAAGTAGCATAAGGAAACAAAAATAATATTTATTAAATAATTGTAAACATTGACAGAAAGTAATTATATAAATAAATTAATATAAATTAATTAAACATGTTAAAGTAAGTAAGTATTAACAACAATTCTGTGTAATATTAAATACAATATATTTATATATAGGAAAAATAATAATATAGAAATTTAATCTTAGAGAGGAATGTTATAATATTCAATACAATATATTCTATTACGTACATTTTTATTAAAATGTAAATATATAATGTAATATAAAATATAATAAATTTAAGTACAAAACAAAAATATTAATATAAAAATTTTTTATATGAAAATATACATATGAGAGAAATAGTAAAAATACATAACTTATTGTAAATTAAAAAAGAAGGAGCTTTTTGGTAAATTTTCAATTTATTATAAATATTAGAAATACAGATAGATATCTATTTTAAAAGATTCCTAATTATGATTCTTTTACAGTTTTATTCTGTATTGCAAATGATAAAAATTTGTTATACTCTTTCATCATGCTAGATTTTCGGTCTTCTATTATATTTTGAATCTTTTTGGATGTTTTCTCGTTGAAATTATTTTTCACAAAATCACTTATCTAAATTATAAATTATTACAAATTTTATTATTATAAATTCTTAAAAAATTTAATTTTCTTTAATAAATAAACATATATTTTTAAATATTATCCTAGTGTTATATATATATATATATATATATATATATATATAT